CCCTGCGCTGCTGCCGGCAGAGCCCAGCCGAGCCCCCGCGCTGGCTCTGCCTGCCTGGCCTGCGCAGCTGTGCCACGGGCACTGGCAGGGCTGCAAGGACTCTGCGCTCCCTCCAGGCTGTGACACAGGCTCCAGCGCCCAGGGTGCCCTGGCTGGGACCCGCAAAAGCCTGAGACCCTTCTGAATCTACACCAGAGGAGCAAACATGCCAGCAGCGTGGGATGCCATGGGGCTAAGCATGGTGACGATTCCGGCAGTGCCATGTGCTGCCAGCCAAGGGTAACGCCGGTGCGAGACGGGGCAGTGCCACCGCTGAGCTGCCCCGCTCAGCCCTCAGACTGCCCCTTCCCCCTACCAAGGACACGGTGAATGCCCGGGAGCATCGCAGAGCCACCCCTGCCCCACCATGGGCCGGCACTCGGTGTGGGCCGCGGTGCTGCCAGGCAGGGTCTCAGCCTCCCCAGCACGCAGTACCCAGCTCCACGCTGCCCCCAGCCCCCCGCCCCCCCCACGCCAGGCTGTCCCCTGCCACTGGCGCTGAAGCTCTGTGGGTATTTATAGGCATTTCTGGTGCCCAGCTCTGCAGATTCGATTCCTCTTGTGCCTCTCGCTGTGCTGCAGGGATGGAAGGTGGCTTGCAGCCCCTGGGTGCCCTGTCCTCCCTTTCTCCTGCCCCTTCCCCACCCCACAGCTCTTGCCCACGCTCCTCTCCCCTGTTGCATCACCCTGACCCGCTCCCAGGCCGCACAGCGTGGCCAGGGCATGTCACCGCTCAAGGGGGAAGAGCCCATGCGGTCGGCACACCACACCTTTGGTATCCCGTTCCAACCTGGGGCTGCTCTCCAATGGGGTTGGGGCTACAGAGCCCGTTCCCAAACGAAGGACCCTCCAGCATCTGCCCCAGGCTCTGGGAGAGCCCTGCAGCACGGCGGGGTGATGCCACCCCATGGGATGGCCAGCCCAGCCCCCAGCTCCCTGGTGCCCGGCACGGGTCCTACCTGGAGCGTGGTGCCAGCAGGGCACAGGGCTGGGCTGCTCCCTCGCCTCTGCCATCAGGACTTCTCCATCCACCCCACACTGCGCTCCGGCACCCGCCGCGGACACGAGGTGCTTCCTCATTTGGGGATTGGTTTGCACGCACTGACTGACAGGCGCCGAGCTCTGCCACAGCCACCAGACACGGTGACAGCCCTGTGACCCTGCAGGAGCCCTGCACCAACCGCCGCGGTGCCCACCCCGCACACTTGCACCGCGGCGCTCTGCACGAGGCTGCTGGGGGGATCCCTGCTCCCGAGCCATGAAAAGCCATCGCACACCCTGCTAGAAAAGTGGCCTTGAGGACGTAATTGGGTTGTCTGGCACCCGCAGCTCCAGCACCCAGCACCCAGCACCTCCTCTCCCAACTCCTCCCACGGCCCCGTGGTCACACACCCCCCTGCGGCTGCCCATCGCATGGTGTGCGCACATCTCTCTGCTCCTACCCCTCCGCCCAGCACACCCTCGCCAGCCGGCGCACACCCGCATCCCGCCAGCGCGCACATCGCTCACACGCAGCACTCGGCTGTCGCGGTACTCTAACCTCTCCTCATCCCGGCAAGCTGCTCCAGGGAATGCCACGTCCCAGACAAAACTCCCACCCACGAGCCTCTGAGCACCCCACAGGGTGCTGCCCTGCCCTGGGGCACACAAGCCCCTCTCCAGCCGTGCTCAGACAGACAATGAGCCACACCTGGGATGCCACCCCTGACCCCAGCTGGGCTTGGGACCCTCCCCAGCCCCAGCAGTCCCCCCATGTGGAGCCGCTGGGCATGGGCAGAACAGGAAGGGGTGCTTTCCTGCGACGTAGTGGCTTGCAGTAAGACCCATCCCATTCCCAGGCAGCACTCTGGAGCAAAACGCAGGCCTTTTCCCCGGGAAGAAAAAAGACAACTTGGCTGCTCATAGAAATATATTGGTTCAGATGGGCACCGCCGTGCCCCTTGCCATCTCCTGCTGCGCAGGAGGCCGTGCCACCTTGGTGGCACGAACGGCAGCTGGGCCCACAAAGAGAGGTGCTGGGGCTGCTGCTGTGACACTGTTGTGGCAAGGTGCTGCTTGAAAGGGGTTGGTGCAGCTTTCCAGCACCATGCAGGACCTCTCGGGGGAAGGGACACTTGTCAAGTGTCAATTTGACCCATTTGGAGCTGTCCCACCTCCCAGTGACTGATGCCCACATGGGGCACCTGGGGACAGGAGGCAAAGGGCCAGCAGTGGGGACAGACCCTCTTCCCAGCACGGCTCACCCTGATGGGACCTCTGGAGGGAACGAGCCGAGGAGGGCTGGCAAGAGCCTTCCTACCCCATCCATCCCCGGGGCATCCCACCGCCTGCCCTGGCACATCAGAGTGCCCCAGCCTGCTCCCCGCCGGCATCTGGCCTTGCATCACCCTGCAGCCGTATGGCGCAAGCACCCTTGTTTCCTCCCGCCGAAGGAAGTGGAGACCAGCCGTGGAGCTCACAGGGTGCTCACAGCTGCGCAGAGGGGTCCAGAGATGCTGGTGCTGCCTGAGGCCACCAGCCACCTGGGAGGGCTGCAGCCACCAACCCACACCGGCTCCCACCCTGCAAAGCGTGCCCAGGCCACCAGCTCTGGCACGTTCGAGGGCAGAGCTGGTCCCCGGTGCAGCGTGCACCAGCGGTGCCTTGCCCTGGCTTATGGGGACACTGCACTGCACAGCTGGGACCAGGACACGTCCCAGCTGACTCCAGGGCGCTCACGGACACTCATGGCTCAGAGCCTGCATGGCAGCACTGGTGGCAGCCCCATGGGAGGAGGCTGCCATTGCCCGCTTC